TCTCTCTCTCCCTCTCTCTCTCTCTCTCTCTCTCTCTCTCTCCAATAAGCATACTCACCCTATAGTTAAAGGAAAAAAAAAAAAAAAGGAAGAAGAGGAAAAATCTGGGAAACTACCAATATCCTCATATAACCGCTGAGAAAAGGGCAAAGGCACAGCAATGGCACAAACCAGTCCTAACTAAAAACCACCTAGAGTTGTAGGATGATGATGGGGAGAAGGCCAGAAAGAGTAGAACAGAGGAGACTCGAGCTACATCCTGGCATTCTAGACATAGGACATATACCAGCCAGCCAAGTAATTCCAGATGGCTAGAACGCAGCATGGAAAAGTTATGCTGCAGGCCAGAGAGTCTCAGAATTCTCAGGACCCCTAGGGATCCCTAAGGCTCTTTGAGGGGTTTGGAAAGTTGAAACTATTTTAATAATACTAAAACACAACCAGCAAAAACTAGAAACCCAAATGTTCTTGAACTGGAAATGGACAAACGGCAGTATATTTATTCATGGAAAAAGGACTCACCAATAAAAGAGAACTAATTAGTGATACACACACACACAACTGAATCTCAAATGCATCATATCAAATGAAAGAAGTCAGACTTAAAAGGCCTAATACTGCATTATGCCATTTAAATGATACCTGAGAAAAAGCAAAACTTAGAAACAGTAAATAGATCACAGGGTGCTGATATAAAGGTTCTTTTTGGGGTGACAGAAATGTTCTATATCTTCATAGTGGTTACACCATCATATGCATTTTTTGAAGTCTACATACGAATAGTTCATTAAAAAGAGTCCATTTTACTCTATATAAATGATACCCTAATAAATCTAACTTTCCAAAATAATATTTGCCTTTTACTCTTGTTTTCTCTTAAGTATACAGTGTTTTTCAGAAGCCACATGATTATCATGATAGCATCACTGTGCAGCTCATGAAAGGTACCCTAGTACAGGTTGGAAATCCCTAATCCAAAAAATCCAAAACTTCAAATGCACCAAAATCCAAAGCTTTCTGAGCACCAAAATGGCATCACAAGTGGACATCACACCTCACCTCATGAGATGGGTCACACTCAAAACACTACAATACAAAATATTGTATAAAATTACCTCCAGGCTATGCGTATAAGGTGGATATAAAACATAAATGCATTCCATGCTCAGATTTTGGACTCATTCCCAAGGTATCTTATTATTTAATGCAAGTATTCAAAATCAGACCAAAAAAAAAAAATTCCGAAACATTTCAGATAAGGGATACATAACCTGTATATTCTTATGCTTTAAATTTTATTTCAATTTCAATTTCTAATACAATTGATACCAATGGGTAACATAAACAGAAGTTCTTTGAGTCTCAATAATTTTTAACAGTGGTTCTGGAGAACAAAAAGTTTGAGAACTACTATAGGTAACAGAAAAGCCCTGAAGTGTTCCAAGCTGGGAGAAACAGAAGAGTAATACAAGGAAACTAGCTAAGAAATAAGCAGAGTCTGACTAATAATATTGAATCTAAGATGAAATGGAAAGAAATTATGTCCACATGTCACCTGCTTCTTAGTTTTTCTCTTTTTTGCTGACTCTGCTGGTATAATAAAGTTTTGCAAACTCATTTCTGTTAACTGGTAATAAATACAGTTGGATACTATATCTGCTACAAGAGTCATTCTACAATGCATTGCTGATAAAAAATTTTTGGATTATTCACTCAGGTGCCACTGTCCCTTCTGCACTACTGGTGGGAATGTAAATTAGTCCAACCACTATGGAAAATAGTACAGAGATTCCTCAAACACCTAACAGTAGAATTACCATTGGACTCAGGCATCCCATTTGGGAGTACATATCCAAAGGACAGGAAAAACCTTCATTGGAGGGATATCAGCACATCCGTATTTCTTGCAGCATTATTCACAATTGCTAGGACACAGAATCTAAGTGTCCAAGAACCAATAAATGAATGTGGCACACACATACTCTACTCAGACCTAAAGAACCATAATCTCCTTCAGTGTGACACAAAATGAATGAACCTAGAAGATACAATGCTATATAAAATAAGCCAGGCTCTGAAAGGTAAATATCAGGTCATCGGGAAAGTCATGATGTATTTCTCTGTTTTTCTATGCAAAAATCCATCATGACTTTCCCAACGATCCAATACTTTACATCTCCACTTAATGTATTCCAAGTGTCCTCAGTCTTTAATGAAAACTTAAGGACCTGATAGCATAAAAGAAGCAAGAGTAAGCCATAGATACCAAAATGGTGCAGGGCAATCAGCTGGGGAGTTCAGGAGAAAATGATTTACAGAAAAAAAATGAGCGTAAATAAGTCGAACAGGATATGGAACAGTGTACTACAGCAGAGTAAAATATGTATCAATAATTGCATATATAGGGGACCAGTAGGTGGTGTAGTGGTTAAGGCACTGGACACTCACACATGGCTGACCACGGTTCAAGTCCCGGACCTAGTGGGTTGCTTTCTCACTTTCTCTCTGTTTCTCTCTGATCAAATTACAATAAATGAATGAATAAATAAAATTAAATAAACAATTATTTTTAAAAAATAATCATTGTATATATACATTCAAAAAGGGGGGGAGAATATCAAATATAATGTTAAATGCTGAAGTTAATGAATATGTTCATATATATAGACACTTAAAAACTATACTGTACCCTACAGAGATATACAACAATTATGTATAAACCAGAAATTGCAATTTTAAAAATTCAAACAAGGGAAAAGGAAAAAAAAAAAATGATAAGCTCTTCAGCCATGATAACCCATGTTGATCTTTGGGGGGGTGGTGTGTGTATGTGTGTGTGTGTGGGTGCCAACTGCCACTGTATATAGCTTCTCTAATTGCTAAGTAACCAACCTCACTGACACCTCTTAGCTAATACCAAACAGATGGAAATCCATCTGGGGAATTCAAGTTGCCACCTTTTTTAAAAATTCACCTTTATTTCGACTCCAGAAGCTTAAGAGTATTCCAGATTTATGCAAAAGTAGTTGTGAATTATAAAGTAAAATTAGATCTTTACCTGAAAGGATAGTCCTTTTGAGTCTTTTATAAAAATCTTGGAAAATCGGTGACAGTCAGTACTACAGAAGATTCTATTTGAAATTTCACCTACAGATGAAAAGGAGAGAATAATTAACTTAAAATATAAACACAATGAAGATAAAAACATCAATCTGATCAAAATGAAATTTCCGTACACTTGTTAAAGCCAAATGGTTTTTGCAGGAAACCCATTTTCTGTGACTCAACTCCAAAATGGAAAACGTGGGTGGTTCTTCCTGTCTCACCATTACGAGTCAGCTAATTGGCCGGTGAAGTTTTCACACAAATGCAGCTTAAACTTTAGCCTTCCATCTGCTCTAACACTGCTACACCTTAGTGAAATGAAAGGGTAATAAAGGCTTTCTCTGGCTTCAAAGAAGTCCTTCAATGGAGAATCTTTGCTTTGTTCTACCTAAACCATACAGGACTAAACTGCCAAGTTTTTCAAAACTTCAAATCCCAAAGATGTAAAAAATAATGAGAGCTAAATCACAAAATAATTCAAGGACTTTAAAGCTATCTCTGACTTGGGAGCCACAATTTCTAAAATATGACAAATTTCTCTCAGGTACCTCTCTGGTAGCATGGATGTGGAGCAGGGGCTTCCAACCTGCTACCTACCCACAGCTACACCTCTTCACCACCCATACAACACTCTGCCTTTGTCAGGACATACCTGCCAAAAGGTTCCATATTTGAACTTATAAATGTATGACTGCCAGAACAGAATATGAATCCAATCATCCTGTAAAGTGTTTCTGCATATCTACCTAGAGCTAGTAAACTAGCCAGTGTGACACAGAGGTAACTGCAAATACACAACACGTTATCTTTGGTGAGAAAGAGAACACAGGTCCATGAAACTAGTGAGGTAACAAAAAAAAAATCTAAGCACACACTAACTATTGCCCAACTAAATCCTAAATTCTTAAACCAATGGGAAAAAATATGCAAATTCAAGACAACAAAAAGTCAGCAAATAAGAACTCTAAGGGGCAAATTGCTCTGGTATATCAACTTTCCAGTTCCTGAAGATTCTAATCCCAATCTGCAACTCTTCGTGTCTCAGGAGATTTTTTTTTCTTCCAAAAATGCTAAGAGGGTCCTCTGGTTCACTCTGCAGAAAAAGGCACTTCACCACCACCGTGATTCTTCTGGTAGAAGCACAAGAAAACACATGTGTCTCCAAAGAACCATTTTATGTGGAGACAACGAAAACTGAAATATACATGCTATTTGTATATTTGATTCGTTTAAAAAAATGTCTGTATGGAGATACAAAGCATATCATGGGTAAATACAGACCATAAGCTTTGAGAGCTGGAAGAGACCCCCATAGCCCACTACCACTGTAATACCCTCATTTTACAGATAAAACTTAGTAAAAGCCTCCCTACTGCCAACTTTCTACTCAACTGTGAAAACTTTATTTTGGAGCATATTAAAATTGAGTTACAACTCAACTGCATGATAAATATCTAAATGTTACAAAAGGAACAGCTTATACAAAAAATTAAAAACCCCACAGTTTTCCCCAGCCAGGGGAAGGATACAGTGGGTTAGCTGTCTTTCTTCATAAAAGTATGATATAATGCTATATTCAGGAAAAAAGGATACACAAATTATATATGCAAATCATCTCTGTCTTCTTAAAACTGGTCACTTCCAAAACCAGTACCTCTAGAAAAAACATACAAAATATGATGTCTTATTTCCTTCCACAGAATGCTGAAGTGGCAAAAATAGTAATCCTTTCTTCTCAAGCTGAGGTTCAAAATATTTTCTAAATAAGGGAGTTTCACTATACTATAACGACTTTCCTCTAATAAACTTAACCTCAGAACAGATCAAGTACATATATCTTCCTATTTAATTGCCTTTAAAATTTTGACTTTTGAACATTTCTCTAAGGCAAAACTAATTTACGGTGATCTTTCATTTTGCTCATTTTCTCAACTTCTAAATAATTTCTCAAATAAGAACACTTTTGCAAGACTATACAAAATATATATGCTTATACATATAAAAACAGAAAGATATAAATAATTTAAATAGTATGAGGTATCTACATGACTTTTCCAAGCTTTTAAGACAAAATATAGATTTCAAAATAAATTCATAATTGTTCCCCAGTTATCTCCAAAGAGAGGTATTTATGCAACTCTCTTACTAAGGATAAATAGGACAGTGAAGATTGGAGGCAAAAATTAGCCCCAATTCTGCCCCTAACTAGCTATACACAAGTCATTTAAGGTTTAAGCATAAGTTCATATAAAAGCTAGCATATCTGATTTATAAGATTTTCTCTGATTTCTAACATCTTCCTAAGACATTATCTATCATCTTAATTTCTCTTAAATTCTAAAAGCCAAATAGACCTCTAAATAGTAAAAATGAATGTTTATAAATGACTTTTTACCCTAGAACTTAAGAGACTACTACCAGCATAGCTAAGTGAAAATTTTTAACTACAGACTTTTATCATCATTAAGCATAACTCTTTGTCCCATGTTTTAGTTTTTCTGCAAGGTTTAGATTAACAGAGATGAACCACCACACCTGGATGACTCTGCTGAACATGTCACCATTCTGCTGAGATGGAAGATCCTGATTCTCCCCTCTCCTCTTCCCTGTCACCTCTGTACCCTGATGCTCTGAAACACGTTGGCCACAATGTTGACAATGGAAACCTTTTAAGTCAGCTATGTTTAAAACCAGCTACATGTTCAAGTCTATATTTGAGAATTCCTGTAAGCATTTTTCTTCATTTAGTAGTCTAGATTTTAAAATCCAAAGAATTTGTTCTGCTGATAATATCTGCATAGCTTAATGTTTGTTCATCTGATTCCAAGTTCCTTACTTATTGCCAAATAAGCAAGAAGGTTCAGGAAAGTATATATGGCTCAACTCATATACTTAGTTTATTTTCTTTACATACCACTGATAATTCTGTCATCCCCAATAAATCAATGAATAACACAAACACTAGGACTGAGAATCTGTCATTTTACTAGTAGGAATTCTGAAAAGTAGTTCCTTTGGCCAAGTTCATTCATTCCTTCTACATGTTTATTCTGTAGAAAGCCGTACTTGTTCTTGCTCGTGACAAACGCAAAAGTCTCTGTCCTCACGGAGCTTATTTTTCATGCTAATGAGTTGCACAAACTATATTTTGGATATTAAATGGGAGCTAGTTAGAGAGTAAATGTGCTATCAGAGAGAAAAAGGACAGGATGGCAGGTAAAGGAGATTCAGGAATGAAAGAAGGCATATGAGTTGGGTCTTAAATAGGGAGTCAGGGTACGACACAGTAGAGAGTACAACAGTATCTGAGCAAAGATAGGAAGGGACATCTCCAGACAGAAACCCAGAACCTTCCCATGTGAGTCAGCCTCACAGAGCACAGCATTTTACCACTACACTACCATCTTGCCCCCAAAAAAGACTTTTGGGGGCCAGCAGGTAGCATGGTGTTTAAGGCGCTGGGCACTCTTACTTGGCCGACCACAGTTCGAGTCCCAGACCTAGTGGCTTGCTTTCTCACTCCCCCTCTCTCTCTTTGGTCAAAATTAAAATAAATAGTGTTCGCTTAGGCAGTACATATACTAAAATTGGAATGATACAGAGAAGATTAGCATGGCCCCTGCACAAGGATGACACACAAATTGGTGAAGTGTTCCATATTTTTAAAGAAATGTAATACACTGTAAAGTTATATGTGGTTCAATGTAACATAAACAAGACTATGATGACAATAAATAAATAAATAAATAAATAAATAAATAAATTTTAACATAGGATAAAGCCCATGAAATAAGGAACTAAAAAAAGAAAATATTTTAGTACAATGTGTTTCTGTTTTAAGCTAAGAGTTGTTATAAGAGTCAGAAAGTTAAAACAATTCCAAGTTTATAAAGTAAAAAGCTTACAGTAATAAGTTCAACTTTTTATTTAAGAAATAAAAATATTTCTACATTAAAAAATTTTAAAATAAATGAATGAATAAGTACAAAAAAATAACTCTTTTTTAAAAAGTGTATTTTTAAACATAATTTCCTAGAAGTCACTTACAGGGGACAGCAAGTGGCATGGTGGTTAAGAGCGCCTGGACTCCCACAGGGTAGACCGTGGTTTGAGTCCCGGACCTAATGGCTTGCTTTCTCACTTTCTCTCTCACTCTCTCACTCTGTCCCTTTCTGGTTAAATTAAAGTAAGTAAATAAATAAATAAAGTCAAATAAAATAATTATTTTAAAAAAAGGTCACTTACAACCATATATGAGTTACTATTATACTTTCTTATAATTACACTATTATAATTACTGTTACTTTAAGTAGTTGCTACAATTAGCATCTGTTATTGGGCGTCCCAAATAATCTTTTTCCATTTACACCACAGTTCTCTACTGTGTAAAGCTCACCTTTCCAATATAGATTTAAAAAAAAAAAAAAAGGCAAATAACAATTGAGGATGTGAAGACTGTCACCTGTCATCCTTGCCCTAAAGTGTAGGCTGTTATGTGCGTTAGGTTCTGCAACTCAGCCCCCCCACTCAGGACTCCTTCAGAACTGAGGCAACGGGGAATGGAGAAGGGGGCTGGGAGTGCAACATCTACTTCCTGGAAGGAAGAACGGGGAGATTTTGGCCCGGGCTTCCTCATTTGGAGCATCCTGTCTAACCCCGGAGCAGCAGTTCTTCAGCCGACCAGTTCCCAGTGCAGTTCTGGCAACAGCTTCCAGAAATGCAGCCTCCAGTCTCCTTCAGCTCTCTGATGATCTGCTAGACTAGCTATCACCTTTCCTAAGTCACTTTCTGCTTACACTAACTAGAACAGATCTTAGTATCTGTAACTAAAAACCCTACCCAATACACATAGTAAATATTCTTTTCATTATTTTCACATATTAAGAGTCGAGATTCAAGGAACGAGTAGCACATATGATATCCTGTCATAAGCCAAGAGTTCTTTCTTTCACGCCAGGGCACATATCCACCATCAACACTTCAAGCTTTTCCTTATATGTATTCTCTTATAAATTTCATCACCTCCGCCATGCAAGGAGAAG